TGGGCCACTACCCCCTCGTCATTCCCAATCTGAGGGATGGGGTTTCCGAAGGGGGGTGGCAGATGGGGAAGCATGATGTTCTCCCCAACCTGGGGTTGAGCCGGAGCCAGGGTGCCGAAGGCACCCGGGTTCTGAGTGAGCGTCTGGGTGAAGGCAGAGAGTGCTGAATGAACGTCGATGGTGAGGACCGGAGGGCTGACTTGGTCATCGCTCCGGTTCTTCTTCTTGGCCTCGATGCCGAGGCGGGCATCGGGGGCATTCTGCTGGATCTGAAGGCGTAGGTTGACAGCCGCCTGTTCCAGCCCAGCGATGACACCGCCCTCAGGAGCCATGTGAGAGGCTTCGGGGGCGTTGACGTCGCCGAGGGCCAGGTTCTTGTCTTCTACGTTTTTGGAGTTGACACGTGTTGTTCTCACCATTTTGGTAAAGGGCTAGTGTTTGGCGAAGGGGGAGGGTTTCTTACTTGATTGTTCGACCTCTCAACGAGAGCACCAAATGATGGATAGTGTACCCGGGGGGTAGCTTATCCGGGGGTTATTGCGGGGAATAACAAGAGAGAAGTCGGAGCAAGTAAGTATAGAGAGAGAAAGTGTATTTAGAAAGTATGCAGCGTTTTGACCTGGTTACAAACGGGGAAATGGGGTGCTATTTATAGTAGCAATAAATGCTGGACAGGGACACGTGTCAAGCGTCCATTGGCCGAGAGGTCACCTCAACCGGTTGGCACTGGCAACCGCATGTGGCCGCATTTAATGCGGCTGTTGGATGGGACGTTGTACAGGGTACGGTGATCTGTACGCATGTGGCGCAGATATCATGTCGGGGAAGGTGCCCTCGGCTGCAGAGGATTAGCCGAGGACTCTGAGTGCCGGGGACCCCCTGGGTGCCGAGGGCTCCCGGTGCCGAGGGCTACTGTTTTCTGCCGTTTTTCTCCCAGTTTCTTAGTTTGCTTGAAAAACCCGTTCTGTGAGAGTTTTGAGCCTTCGGCCAGGGGGCCGAAGGCTCCACAGTGTGCGTTGTGGGCTGCTAAGTGCTTTGGGCGCCGTAATTTGGGGCCTGCTGTGCTTCCTGGGCCGGTTGGGCCTTTATTGGTGTAGTAGGAGTCTGTGGGCCGGGGGTTCCTAGGCCATATACTCCATCAAACATCACTTGAATAGCACTCATACTCTGCCAGTTTTATTCTACTAGAAACTTGGTAATATTTATAGTTTATCAAAAACCAGAGCTTTGATTAGTTTTTTCAAATGTGACCATCTCGATTAAAAAAATCATTAACGTGAATGTGAATTACAATCATGTGATGATTCATTTTTTAGAGCTCTGGAGATTTTTTTTTATGAGCTAATTCAGGAACAAAGGAAGTTTGAGTGCAGCTTTCAAGAGTCAAGACTCGGTAGATTCTGTGAGAGTTGAGGGAAGGTTAAAATTCAGAAAAAGTTAAAAATTAGATTCAACAAAACTAAATTTTTAATTCAGGTCAACTCATAAATGCAAAGCAAGTGAATGAGATCCAATTGCTTTTTATGTAGATAACTTGGACATACGTGAACCATAAGCAGTCACCAGAGTTACAAATCTATTTGATTCCAAGGGCTGCAAGCCTGCAACTCCTCTTGCAAGCTATTGACCTGTAAAGGTAAATATAAATTCAAAGACTAGAAATAACCTTCACGCACTTCAACAAAATATTGATAAATGTTCCTAACAGAATGTTGGAAGTTCAAAAGAGTAACAAGTCGGTGAAGCTGCTTCAATGCAAAGCCTATTTTCACACAAAATAGTCATGCAATTAGAATTCTCAAACTTTAAACACTACAAAAGAAGAGGAAAAGGAAGATGATGCCAAAGAGAACATGAGTGCTGCAAGAAGAAGCAAAATGTGGGGCATTAGCAAAATTCGAACTTGTACATGTAAGAATAAGGCAGAAGAAAAACCCTCTTCATCCATAATAAAATTGGATGTTACAGATATGCAAATAACATTGAACTTAAGTATTTTATGGTATTAAGAAGGGAAACAAAATCATGCTCAATCTTAAATTACTAGTGTGAAAACCTAAAAATATAAACAAAACAAACCTTAAAGAGAACAAACATTGTCTTTTTTTAGTCAAACGATATTTCATTTATTAACACTATTAAGCAGGAGTCTAATGAGTACAGTCTGAGTTACATACCCAGAAAAGAAACCATTCTGTTAAAGTTCAAGTACATCACAAGAATTTAGAAACACACTCAAAGCAAACAACTTACATAAAAAGAAACTAATACAGGTATATGCGCATGCTGGCGGAATACCGGTACTTAGGCCGCAACCCACCCGGGTGGTAGTCAAGTAATGCTCTTGAACTACTAGTAACACGATGGTAATCTGGGCGGGTCTCCACAGTGTATGAACCATACTCCTGCAAAATGAAGTATACAATTAGATGCTTAGAGAACCAAAATACAGAGGAAAGCATTAACGTTAGCTTATAGAAGAGCAGAAAAATTATATTTAAAAATCAAATATATTTCAGGACAATTGAAAATTAGAATCGAAATAATCAACAACACAACAATACTATTAACAAAATTCAACACAAACCCTAGATTGTGATAGTTATACCACAAGGCAATCTAAAACTCAAAACAAAATGAACAAATCTTGGTGGGTGGTTTTTATGGAGGCGAGCAGCTAGTGCTTCTTGGAACTGCAACTCCTCCGCATATTTAGCATCGGAAATCCGACCCAACAGTGAAGGAAGACTCCAATTTCATATTTTGGTTTGGCGAGACTTGTGATTCAAACCAGCTGCAGAGGAATCTAATTCACCCATTTCGACCTGTCATACTACCCCAAAGGCCACCACCACTCCGGTGAAGACATCGTCGTCGACTTCAATGACTATGACCGGACTCCTTACGACGGAGGGTACGACATTACCCTAGAATATGACCGTTCTATTCCACCATCAGAGGAAACCTGCTATCCCATCTCGTCATCCTCCGGTGAATTTGACTACGGCCTAAGCCTCGACTTACCCTTTATGGAGGCTCATCCGCACAGGGGTATGGTGGATCTGAGAATCCCCTCCCTAACCATAGGTTCTCGAAGTATTGGTCGCTCACCCGACTAAAGCTTTTTGGAGGTACGAGCCGTTTGCTGCAGACGGCTTGAAGGTTTTGTGTGTTGTATTGAAATAGGGTTAAACGGGTTGCAGGTTATTAATCTTAAGTGGTTTATAATGAAATGACGTCTGTTCACATCTAAACTGACGGGCAAGTGAAATAATTGTTAGGAACGGAATTCATATAACGACGGGTCAGAAAATTAACTGACGTGGAATCATTTATAAGACACTACAACGTCAGTTTTAATTTAACCGTCGTAATATGTGCGACGTAGTAGCTCCATCCTGTAGTAGTGTCAAAGCGGTTTTCCCCATTTTGACCGGTTCGGTTCGGTTCGGTGCGGGTATCCATCGGGTCAGGTTAAATTGCCATCCGTACGCATGATGTGTCTTTGGCCCCACGCGCCGAAGGCTTTTAAACTTAGGAAACTTGGTCCAGAAACATCACCAAAGAACAGGGCTTGAAATAAGAGCCTTCGGCACATACAGCCTTCGCCACTAGGCCCCCCCGGTGTGCAGGGCCTTCGGCCCCGGAAGGTACGGCCGAAGGCACTATTCTCGACAAGATCTCCTCTCCCACATGCACTGAATCGCCGCATCAAGTACAACGTCACACCCAAACCACCGCATTGAATGCAACCACGTGCTATGGTCGGCGCCACCCTGGTTGAGTTGACCCTCCACCGCTGGTTGCTTGACACATGTACCCTCGCTGATTAGATCTAGCATTTATAGCTGCTATAAATAGCAGCCAATTTTCCCATTGTAAATGAACAACTTTCTATATTGAATACACATCCACTCTCTCTTACTTGCTCTGACCTCTCTCTAGGTTATTCCCCGCAATAACCCATCGGATAAGTTACCCCCGGATACACTATCCATCAATATATATTCCAATGAAGTATATAAAAATAATTTTGTATAATAAAGTAATGTAATTATGAATAATTAACAGTTAAGGTTTATAAAATTTGACTCAAAATGTTCAGCTAGAAACTTAATTGTGGAACAGAGGGAGTATATTAGGAGATCACGATATAAAATTTAGAAATTGCTCTAAATAGGAGCAAAAACGTTTTGAAATTCCAAAATAGGAGTATCATGTTTTTAATTCCTTGAATAGGAGTAATCTGCCAAATTTGAAAAAAATGCCATGTTTTAAAGCCTAGTAATGCCAAACTTGGCAGAAATTTACTCCTATTCAAGGAATAAAAAACATGATAGTCCTATTTTGGAATTTCAAAACTTTTTTACTCCTATTTAGGGAATTCTCTCTATAAAATTTCAATATACTTTTTATTGCCTAAAAAGATTATTTTTCTTGGGGGTAGGGCCCATCCCTATCATCAACATTGTTTTCTTTTTGCAAAAAATACCAACATTGTTATACACCCATATTTTGTTTTAGATTTACTCTCCAAAATAGAAACATACATTTATATAAAAGAACTAATATTTTTAATTTTTTTTGTACATTTGCAAGTAATTGTTTATGCACAAAAACTGTTGTCTAAATTTTCGTATTTTGGAATTTCAAAACTTTTTTACTCCTATTTAGGGAATTCTCTCTATAAAATTTCAATATACTTTTTATTGCCTAAAAAAGATTATTTTTCTTGGGGGTAGGGCCCATCCCTATCATCAACATTGTTTTCTTTTTGCAAAAAATATCAACATTGTTATACACCCATATTTTGTTTTAGATTTACTCTCCAAAATAGGAACATACACTTATATAAAAGAACTAATATTTTTAATTTTTTTTGTACATTTGCAAGTAATTGTTTATGCACAAAAACTGTTGTCTAAATTTTCGTATATAAAAAAAAACTGTTTTCACTTTTTATAGCTAAATTAATGGCCATCTGATTTGGTGTAGATGGAACATTCTCAACATTCGAATTTGGGGAGAGAGGGTGTACTTGTCCCTATACCGGCTAAAATTCCCCAACGAGGCAGCAACGTGTTGCCGGCCGATTTACAAAGAATTTTTATTTTTCCTTTCTTTTTTGCTTTTCCCACGCATTTTCTCTCTCCACACAGAAACACTAATCAGTCATTCTGAGAACTCCAAAATTGTCGATTACTTCTCTAAACTTTTTGCAAGTTGAAACCGGGGAAAAGAACCATTGTTAAAAAGGTTAAATCTTTGTCCCAGCAAACGGAGAATTTGTTCTCAGGGCGTTTACGTGCCCATCTTGTCCTACTCTCCGGAATCGATTGGTTTTGTAATGATTTGATCAGTTGATGCGTGCCGGTTGAGCTGCAAGATTCTGGAATCCTAGGGTTCTTGGTTGCGGAATGAAGTCAATGGAGACTCTACAAGATCTGATCGAAGAAGCCAAGCTTCGAGCAGTTTGGTGGGCTCTCTGTATATTCTGTGTTTGCTACTTCCTCACAAGTAAGTTCTTACACTTCTGCTATAGCTCTGTTCATGTCTTTCTGGATACTTTTTGCCTACTTCGTCAAAAATACCATTGATGCTAGGTGCCTAGGTTGCATTTACTAAGAAAAAGAATCATTTTTTTAATTTGATGGAAATTTTTAAGGGCTATATTTCTTTGTGTCACTTTACAGTTTCTGAATGTTATGTGTTGATGAATGCAGACACTAGTAAGTCAATGTGGATGAATCTACCAGTTGCTATATTGTTGGTTTGTGGACTAAGGATGCTATTGAAAGAGGTAGAATTTTCTTGGAAAACACAGTGTGTTAAACCAAAGACATACTTGTCACACTTGGGAAAGAAGCAACTGTCCGTAAATGATTCTCGTCTGTCTATATCTTCTTCACTTCTTCCAAAATGGAAGAGCAAAATTGATTCACCCCTTGTGGAGTCAGCCATGGAGGATTTCATTCAAAAGCTTCTGCGTGATTTTGTGACAGATTTGTGGTATTCTGATATAACCCCTGACAAAGAGGCTCCTGACCTAATACATGCTATCATTATGGACGCTCTTGGAGAGCTTTCACATAGAGTCAAACAAATAAACCTTGTTGATTTGTTGACAAGGTTTTTTTTCTTGGTTGTTTTACATGATCAATTAATATATGTGTAGTTAAAGGTTCAGAAAAAACTTCAGGGAATACTATGTATTTGACATAAATTCCCATACAGGGTAATTCTGGAGTTCCCTGAACTTTTCCCTGAGTTTTTCTCTGCCTTTATCCTTCCTTGTTCCATAGTAATGAACCTTTATTTTCCTATATAATTAGGGATGTAATGGACCTAATAGGGGACCACTTGGATCTTTACCGAAGAAACCAGGCTTCAATTGGTGTGGATGTTATGGGAACTCTATCATGTGAAGAAAGGGATGAGAGATTAAAGCACCATTTGCTGGCCTCACAAGAACTTCACCCTGCTCTAATATCTTCAGAGTGTGAGTACAAGGTGTGAGTGGAGAGTTTTGATGAAGAATTTTTTAACACATTTGAGTGATTTTTAGTAATGGGTTTTAACTTTCATGTAATATGCATTATTTTCTTAAACTTTTATAGGTCCTGCAGCGGCTAATGGGAGGAGTCCTAGCTATAGTTCTACAGCCCAGGGAAGCTCAATGCCCGTTGGCTCTATGTATTGCTAGGGAATTGTTGACATGTTTGGTTATGCAACCTCTTATGAATTTCGCTAGTCCAGGGTGGGTTATTTTTTACTTCGATATTTGGGTTTTCTATGCATGTCAATATATGTCTAGTATCTACTACTATGTTTACTAGTAGTTTTCTGAAGTTAGTTGGGTATTCAAACTGCTTCGGTATTTTATTCATCTACCTAGTCTTTGGTTGTTTGTATTTAGCTTGATTGAAGTACTGATGTTGAAGTACACCTATTACTCTTATTCGTTATTAAATTTTCAGTTTTCCAAGGGAACCAAAAGAGTGTAATGTACCAAAATAAACAAGTAACTGTTCTACTTAGGGAAGTTTCTTAGGGACATTTCGGATGGAGGTTTCGGAGGGAAGGGAAGGAAACTAGGAAAGTCAAGTAGTTCCTTGTGTTTGGGTGGGGGAGTTGGGGTATAGTAATTAGTAAAGAAGTTATAAAATCCTCATAATTGGAGGAGTTATCTTTTCCTCCTTTTTCTTTTAATTTTTTACTATAGTTGTTCTACATGTAGATGACTATAGTTTTGATTACAAAAATAATATCCTTTTGTCCAAAAAAAGTAATTTCCAGTTTCAAATTTTTTTTTGGGGTTGAGCAAAGAAGAGTCCTATTTCATCAAATGAAGCTCTACTTTTTAATGTAAATTTTCAAAATGAGATTCAAACAATTGAATATGATAAATTTAGTTAAACCAACAAAAAATGAATGTAGGAGGATTTCATGACCTTTAAGAAATTTTCTTTCCCATGATTAAAAAGTTGAAACTTGATCAAGATGACCCTTTTTGTTTGGGGGGGGGGGATCAGTACATATTTTGCAAAATATTAGTTCTTCCTCATTCCTTCATTCAACCTGACCTAATGTATTTTATCTTCCTTTTCTCTTCCCCTACTCTTCCATCTTTTGAACCATACAACGGCTTAGAGTACATAAGCTTCTTTTTCCTTTCTTAATTGAATGAGGTCTGGATCCTCAAGTAGTTGATCATAGTTTCTTTTTGTATCTTGTAGTAATGTTTGACATCCTTGCAGGTATATCAATGAGTTGATTGAATGTATTTTCCTTGCAATTAATGATAAGGACGTTCCGGAGAGGCAGTATAGTGATAATGATCATGATCATGATCATGATCATGCGGGCCCATCAGAAAAAGCGAAGGCTAAATCTTTCTCATCATCACATAAAGCTGCTCCAGTTGATCATCAAATAATAAAATTGTCCTCCTCTGAAGCTTCTGAAAGTTCTGCATCTAATAATATAATCAGTCAAAAGGATATGACTTTGCCTCTTCGGCCTGCTGACTGGGCTTGTGTCGTTGAAGCAGCAACTCAAAGAAGGAAAGAAGTTCTTATGCCCGAAAACCTCGAGAACATGTGGGCCATCGGAAGGAATTATAAGAAGAAACTCCTAAAGAAGGGTCCTCCAATTCCTCCTGATGGAAGTAGAGCAAAAACAAGGCTTAAGAGATCAAACAGCACTTCTGATTTGAATATTCAACTGAATTTGGAAGGCTCGTTTGCTAGCAAAGCTGGGCCAGTTATCACAGAATTTTACACTCCTGCATTTACAGGGAATGCTCAAGTACATAGCTCTAAAAGTGCTTCTTCTGAAATTGTTTTACGAAGCGACGGGTATCAAGTTCCAAAGCTAAAGTGTCGGGTAATCATTATTATTATTATTATTGTTGTTGTTGTTGTTGTTGTTGTTGCTCTCATTATAGGGAAGTATAATATAATAATCAAAGCAGCCAGCTTGATGAATATGATCCTTGATAATGCAACAGGTTTTAGGAGCATATTTTGAGAAAATGGGTTCAAAATCTTTTGCAGTTTATTCAATAGCAGTGACCAATGCTGATAACACTTGGTTTGTAAAGAGAAGGTTGGTTTGTTTTTTCTAAATATTTTCTTGAATAGCCAAATATAGTTATTTGGCTGTAGTGATGCACTGATGTTATATTAAATCATTAACATGTGTATATATATGTTTTATATATATTCTACTGGTATACACGCAGATACAGTAACTTTGAGAGATTGCACCGACACCTGAAGGACATTCCTAATTACACGTTACATTTGCCTCCTAAAAGGATATTTTCTTCAAGCACGGAGGATGCTTTTGTTCATCAGCGTTGCATTCAACTTGACAAGTATCTGCAAGTATGCTTTTATAGCTCTTTACAAATTTGAGATGAACTTTTTCTAGTTTTTGTTTCCCTTATCATCCTGTTATGTACAGGAACTATTGTCAATTGCTAATGTGGCTGAGCAACATGAAGTGTGGGATTTTCTGAGTGCTTCCTCTAAGGTTTGTTGTACTCCTGCAGCTTTGTTTGTTCATGGATGGTTCTAGTTTTTTACTCATGCTCAATTTAAGAAAATACTAACCATATTTATATGAATGTAGAGTTACTCCTTTGGAAAATCATCTTCAGTCATGAGAACCTTGGCAGGTATTTAGGTTTTTTTTTTGTCTTTTACCTTCATTGTGATATATATCAGAACTTGGGTTCTGTTTGTTTCCAGGAAAATGAAATGTTTTCCTATTAAAAATAAGCTGTTTTATGTAAAATATAATAAGTGACCCACCGCTCACAAACACATAAACTGTTTTCGCAAAATGAGTTGTTTTTGGAAGGGGTACTTGTTTTCCATAAAAGTCTAAAGAATCAAGGAAAGTATTTTCATTGGCTGAGCACAGTAAAATCCAAAAAAAAAAACGGAGGAAAACATAACTTTTATCGGAAAATAAGTTGTTTTATGTATAATATAATATTTACTCCACGAATATAGAAAAGCTGAAAACTGCTTCGGGAAAATGACTTTGCATTTCTAATGGGAAGTCATTTTTTGAAAGTCTGAAGAGTCGAGGAAAATATTTGTTGTTGCCAAACATGAAAATCTTTTCAGGAAAATGTTTTTATGTGCCAAACAATGTAATATCCGAATACATTTTCCAGCAAACAAACATAGCCTTCATCCATACATGAGTTAAAGAAAATTATTTTCTATGGTGCTTCGTGAAATTATTGTACCAAGATTTATTTGGTACTAATGGTTGTTCCTAATTTTACTGTTTTTATGCCATTATTATTAATATTAATGGATTGGGCAGTTAATGTGGATGATGCTATGGATGACATTCTACGTCAATTTAAAGGAGTCTCTGATGGTTTAGTGAGGAAAGTTTCTGGCTCCTCTTCCTCTTATGAACCAGTGGCTGCCGGTTTAGCTGGGATTTCTCACTCTTGGAGTGGTGATGAAATTGTTGGGAAACTGGCATTAATGCAAAGTACATCAGAGTCGGCTAACAGTTATTGTTCTGACAATGATGATGGTGATAAAGACGATAGTGAGACTAAGGTTGGAATGGAGTTGAGTCCACTAGTCAATGGCTGGCACTCTGACAATGAACTACTGAATCCAAAAGAGTTCCCAACGAGAGTGGTTAAACATGATGATGAAGAGTTTAATGGATCACTCAGCTCTGGTGGTGGTGGATTTCCTGAAGCATGTTTGGCCATTGTTTCAGGTCAACAACCAGTTGATCCAAGTAGGGTGCCTCCAGAGGTAAGGGTCATTTCTTTATAAACCTATCCATCTCTCTTAAATATGTTTATTGTATACTCCGTATAATTATATAGCAAGAATTTACAGTAGATATTTTCCCTCAGTGGGAGGACGTGAGATTATGCTATTGATTATTTCATAATAAATGCTAGTCACTTCATTGGATTCTGTATTTATATCTTACTGTGTGCTCCATACATTTCCATGCAGTGGACCCCTCCTAATTTAAGTGTGCCTGTCTTGAATTTGGTGGATAATATTTTTCAGCTCAATAGAAGAGGTTGGTTAAGGTGAGAGATCTAGATTCTACTCGGTCATTGTGCTTACATATCTCTACATAGCTTTGGTGATTAATAATGTGATTAGGTTTCATGAATACTACGATTGCCACACTGATATACCAATTAGATATTCAGTATTTCACTTCATGTTTGCATGAGTTATCGTTCAAGCTCAATAGTTGTGTTTTATGAAAATCAGTTCATGTATACTGTGTTAATACATAAAACACCTCCTAGAGCATTTAGGGTCCGTTTGGACATGTAAAATGTTATGAATAGGAAACAGAGGGGGAATGTACAAGAAATTGAATTTGGCAGAAAAAAATATGGTTCATACTCAATAAATTAGTTTTAGGTACTTGTTTAAACTCTATTTGTTGGTAAACTTGACTATTTTAAATCAAATTGATTTCAAAGTAAAACCAAACGTAAAATACTATTTTCCTTAGCACTTTCCACCTTTCTCTACCAAAATCGGGCTCTAGACACAACCTCAATAACGCAACTTGCCTCTTCTATGAGTAGGAGACAGGTATTTTGGATATCCAAACAAATATTGCAGTTAATGATGGAGGATGCAATTGATGACTGGCTTTTAAGGCAAATTCATTGGCTTCGTAGAGAGGATGTCATCGCCCATGGAATACAATGGGTCCAAAATGTAATTTTATTATCTCATCAATATATTTATTTTTTCCAGAAAGCTGTTTCATTGATATCTAAAAACTTTAACCACACACAAACATTTCTGCTGATTTGTTTTTTTTGTTTCTTGATCCAGGTTTTATGGCCCGGTGGTACTTTCTTCATGAAATTAAATGCTCAAAGTGAAACGGAATTCGGTAAACCAATAAGACAGGAAGCAACAGGAGGGAATAGGCTGGGCCTCAAAGAAGGATCTTTTGAGGAGCAGCTTGAGGCTGTCCGCAGAGCTAGTGAAGTGAAGAAGATGCTTTTTGGTGAGTTTTTTCTTTCATTTCAGATTCTATATTTTCCTCCATTCTCTCTTTTTTCATTCGTTTTCTATTATTTTTATAAGACATTGTTTTTTATGAATAACCTGTTAATGTTCTTGCTATCATTTTCTTCTTAGAATGATGTCATCCTTCATAGACTTTATGTTATCTATTATCATCCCTTACAATCTTCTGGTTTACTGTCTATGAGAGTATTCCAACCATTACTTCTACTAAACAATTCTCCGTAATATTTTTTTATTGTGCTATCTGAAAGTGATGATTACAAAACAAAGAATAGTGCAATTTTGTTTGCTAAAATAACTCAAATGAAAGGAAAATAAACTTCTGCCCATATATTTAGACATTACCACCAAAATAATGTCCATATTTCACAATTAATAGTTATAATTGTTCAGTAATAGATATAAAGAATGTGATAATGAAATTAATGTTTGAAAAATATATACTCCGTATTAAATTAAATTAGTCAAGTGTACTGTCATATTATAAAATAATAGTATAATGTATTGAAACTCAATGCCAAAGTTATTTATTTTTTACTTGAATAGTCAAATTATTATTTGTTGGGGGATAGAATAGTTAAAATAATAGTATAATGTATTGAAACTCAATGTCAAACTCAATGGCTGTCTTTACTAAAGTGCTTTATAAATAAGTAGTACTTTTTTTTAGAAATTTCAGCCACAAACCCACAATTCTAGGGTATTTATGGCTTTATGCACATCCAGTCAAACTTTACCTTCGCCGAACATGCTCTTAGATTAATTCCCTAAGTTATACTCCGTCCGTCCAATTTTGTAAGATAGTTTACGGTTTACGATGTTTGACCGACGATAAAGCAAATTGATTCCTCTAAACACTCAAATTAGTTTTAGAAAATAAAATTTACATATGCAGAAACTACATAAAAACCGCTACAAAACCTGCAAAAAATAATTCAAATTTCATAAACTTTTGATATATAAAGTAAAAGATTAAGTGTGATTTAAGTTGAGAATAGTAAATGTATCTTACAATTTGGGACTGAAGGAGTAGTTTGTAGTATTACGTATAACACGACTCAAAATGGTTAATATTCATTTCAGATGGTGCTCCTACTACTTTGGTCAGCTTGATTGGTCATAATCAGTACAGACGATGTGCCCGAGATATATATTATTTCCTTCAGGTATGTCCCAAATTCTAGCAGGCTTATTCGATAACCTTTTCGGGTCCATTTCTATCAAACAATCATAATGGTTGTGTATTGTGCAGTCTTCCATTTGTATAAAGCAACTAGCATATGGGATACTGGAGCTTTTACTAGTTACCGTCTTCCCTGAGTTGCAAGACACTGTGAGAGATATCCACGACAAGATGCGCGTCCAACCTCCGTAAGGGAGGGGTGCCATTGTCTTTTCTACCAAGAAACATCTAACGTTCGAACTTGTCAAGTGTTGCGGTTCTGCCAGTGGGGCTATGAGCAGTTTTTACTTAAAAGTTCATTTCAAAGGCCATAAACTCTAAACAGCAGGAGCGTTTGTGAATGCGTCTGAAGGGTTTCTTGGTTTTCAGGAGGTGACATGTTATGCCTGCTCATTATCATGTACAAATTGTAAAATAGATCATTGATGTATAGTCGTATATAGGATTTATTATACATTCATTTTTTGTGCAACTTACCTTCTTTCATACCATTTAAGAGGGCTACTTTGGTCGCAAGGCTTTATAGTTGTTCATGGTGTGTATTGAGAATTTTAGATCTAATTGTACCCTTGAGAATATTTTCAAGGGTATGCTATAGAGGGAGACACCGACACAGCTAGTGACGTAACCTGCACTTAATATTTGGGCTGGGACGGTCCTGACAGACTAAAGAATAAATTTGAATTTTAATTACCCGGACCCGGTGGCTACCCGGTCCGGTCCTGGGTCCACCTATTCAGAATTGCCGGCCCGCCCGGGCTTAGGCTGGACCTGAACCCGGCCTGGCCTGAATCCACCCCTAGTTCTGCCCATGAACGAGGAAATATGATTAAAGAAAGGGTTTTTTATTCAAAATATTACTCAAATAAAATTTATTCACACAAATATGAATACTAGTTTTTATATTGAATAAAATTTAGAGAGAATTTCCCAAATGGGACTAAAACTTGTTTAAAACTCCAAAGTGGGACATTAAGTTTTTTATTACATAAATAGGACTTTTAATTACTGATCGGACAAAATTGCCCTTTCTTAGTTCCGGCTGCAACAATTCACTGGGTGCGATGAAGGTCGTTTGCGAGTTGCGATGCACGGATGAACGGCTCCCCAGGTAAGTTTCTTCCGATCTTTTTCTTGTACTCATCTCTTAATTTCTTCTCAAGCTCCCTTGTTTTCTTCTTCTACAGGTCTTCTATTTTCTTCTTCTTTTGGATTTCCAAGTTTTTATAATCCTGAGTAATTTATTTTTAAAAGATTCATATTATTGTTCTAATCACTTCAATCTGAAAAATGACATAGTTGATCTTTAATTGAACACTGATTTCTAATAATGTCACTTTCATGACATTACATTTGCTAAGGTGACAATTTCAAAGAAGAAAATGACATTTCCAGAGTAATAATGTCACTTTCATGACATTTTCAAAACAAAAGTGACATTTTCATATTGTCATCCGAGTACATAAACTGTCACAAACGTGACATTTTTTCCAAATAACCAATAATTTTGACATTCTCGGATTATAAAAGTGACATTTTACTGAATAAATAAATTCAAATCCAAAAGGTCCAAATTATTAAATAAAATTCAAATCCAAAAAATTTAAAGAAGAGAACAGAGGACCAAAAATTTGAAGAGGATTAGAAGAAGAAGAAGAAGAAGAAGAAGAGGTGGAAGAAGAAGAAAGGAGGGGGAGGAGGATACCTATGGTCGATGGCGGAGCTACGGTGCGACGCCATAGCTGATGGCGGAGATGAAGTCCACAGGAGGAAGAGATGTGCAGGGTTGCTACGAAGAATTCCAGTCGATGGCGAGAATGCAGCGACGAGTGCAGAAGGGTTAGAGCTATTTGGGGAAAATGTGATTTAGGGATTAGGGGCAAAAAGGTAATGTGGAGTCCCATTTAGGAAATTTAAAACTTGAAGTCCTATTTTGGAGTTTTAACCATGTTTTAGTCCCATTTAATATAATTTCTTTAAAATTTATCATAACTTATGTTTAAAAAACTAATACTACGTATAAGTTATGATTTCATTACTACTTTTGTCATTAGTCATATTTTTGTAAACAGTCTTTACTTTAATTATTTAAAATATTTTTATGGGGTGTTTGGAATTGATTTTACTACTGCTTTTTTAAAAGCGGAATCAGAATTAGTTTTTCAGAAGCTGATCTTTCCTAGCTTCTAATAAAAACTGCTTCTATGAGCAATTTGGAGCATCTGGAAATACTTATACACTTTTATCCAAACATTCAAATATCTACTTCTGCTCCCTGAACGATCAAAAACAGTTTTAAAAAGTAGATCCAAACACCCTCTTAGTCAATTAGTCATGTAGGATTGAAGCTTAATTTGTCAATCAAATTTTGTGAGAACTTGTTTTCATATTACCAATATAGGCTATAGAGACGAGGGAGAAACTATCAAGAAATAAAATCCTAATTTGGATTCTTGCTTGGCCATTTAAATTCTAAACTCAGGCAAATTAAGAAGTTGTGATTGAGCTGAAAATAGCAAATCCCAGCAGAACTACAAGTATCGAAGTCCATGTTAGAATTCCTCACGTTAGAAGCTTTAGACAATAAAACTATCCAATTGTACGAATATATATATATAACATTAATCACTCTTAGCCATCATTAGTACTAGCTATCAGACCTGAGAATGGGTAATGTACAAAACAATGCTCAAAAGAGGTTTCTGAATGGATCTGTGATAGAGTTGCGGAGGCCCGAGTAAAGCGCATATAGTGAGTATTGTCTTAAATTCTTGACCTCGTACCAACTGTTGAACACATCACCGTTCTTATCTGTACCAGAGAATGCCAATTGTATGCTCAAACTGCAATCTATGGTTCCTCCATTTCCATCACACTTGCCGATTGAGATTGCACAATCAGTATTGTTAAGGCACACAAATGGATCCCCATTGCATGAACCGCACCCAAACTTCTTCCAGTATAGATTTTGTAGAGTCCCTTTTTGAAATTCCAAAACCTACACAAAAATCAATCTTTAGTTCATATGGAAGTTGAGTGCCTTAAATATGTTGCTTAGTAGTTGCAACTAAATGACATGGATAAAATTGGGGTAACCCTCACACCTAGTATGTTTCTGAATTTCAAAGTAGCATTACTATATTTTTATTCTCTAAATAGAAGCAATTACCGTCAAGTTTTAAAGTTTGATAATGCCAAAACATAATATTAATTACTCCTATTTAGTGAATAAGAACATAATAGTCATATATTGGAATTCAGAAACGATTTTGCTTCTATTTAAGGAATTTTCGCATACTTGTTATTCGTGGATCCAAAAGAAAACTCTAGGCTCTCTAAACACACAACCTCCGATTGATCATTGTTCGTATGAATATGGGTTGTCTGACATTATCATTGGATACATTCTTTAATGAGTTTTATTCAAGCTGCATTGTCATTTACAATATGTGATTCTGTTGAAGTATTTGTCCCACACCGGAACGCTATAAAATAATAAAACACTATATAAGGCTTTGGGCTACTCCTCCTATTAGGTTGACCTTTTAGGATGAAACCACGAGTTTAACATGGTATCAGAGTCAAATCCGGTTGTGGTTTGATTGCTAGTTTAACACCCATGATTAAGGGTAGTTTGTTAAGGGTATGTTTGCCCCATTTATACACCCTGATATTGTGCAGTCCGGCTCTGGCCGAGGGGGCATGTTGAAATATTTGTCCCACACTGGAAAACTATACAATAATAAAACACTATATAAGGCTTTGGGCTACTCCTCCTATCAGACTGACCTTTTAGGATAAAACCTCGGGTCTTAACAGATTCATAGTTCATGATTTAGATAAAAAAAAGTTAATTTTGAGTTTTCCACTCAGCTATTTCAACATAAATTCTTAAAATGGAGATGATATTTCACTTTATGCGGCAAGAGGTTGTGGAGTTCGTGTGGCCGAGTGATTAGTAAGTAGTATGTAATTTTTATAACAATTCATCTTGTACACAAAATTTGTACACATTTCTCATATTTTTCGTAATTGTTTATGCACAATATTGTACGAGCCCTCTATGTACACATGCAATTAGGGGATGTATGCAGGGGCGGATACACATACATCTTAATGGGGGCACATGCCCCCAATAATCTCTCAATAAATTAGCACACCCATTACAAAAAATTAATAATAGGATGCTTTATCCCCAATAAAAATATGTCATTGCCCCCAATAAAAATATGTCATTGCCTCCAATAAAAAGCAAAATTGATCAGCCCACATAGTCACATAGCACATCAACATACTCCGTATTAATGTTTTATCCTAACCCCTAATAATTCAATATCATCATTAACAAAATTGTATAATTGTATATTGGTTTTTAGTTCAATACAACTTCTATTTCTACTTGTATTTCATTAACAAATTCATCAGTTTAATTTCTTTTACCATTTCTTATATGATTTCTTAATAACCAAATATGAACTCTTTTCGTCGTTGAAATTTAATTGTAATATTCTGCTGAAAAACTCTATTAAAGTCTGCACTCTTATTAATTTACTTTAGGTGAAATTAGCAAAAAATTAATTTGCACATAATTAACAAATAAATAAGAAAAATGAAAAGCGATAACATACGAAAAATAAATATATATGAAGATATCATCAAATATTTAATACTCCCTCTGTCCCGCTATGATTGTCTCATTTTACCTTTTTGTTCTGTCCCACTAAGATTGTCACATACCTTATTTGGTAAAATTTGTGTGGTTCTAAATAATTCTTACTTTATTCTTACTTTATCAATACAATATAAACCACATAAACCCACTTTTATTAATAACGGTGTCACCTTCTCTTGTCCCAAACTTAGGGGGACGGAGGTAGTACTTTATTAGGAGTTTAAAGTTAAAACCACCCTTTACCAAAAGATAGATGGCCTCTTATAATCATTTTTTATTATTTGTTCCTGAATACCATTTCGAAAATCATAATTTTATATTAAGTTCAAGAAGCTGTACAAAAAAATATATATTAAGTTCAAGAAGAAATGTGTGTAATGGTACTCTTTAGTACACATTCAAAATATATACTCTATACACATTTGTTTATAAATCAAACCAAAATCTTGCCCCCAATAACCTTCCGGGTTGGATCCGCCACTGGATGTATGTTTACATCGTCTGTGTACACATGCGATTACATATAATGTGTGCGAAATGTGTCTGAAATGTGCACAAATTTTGTGTACAAAAGGAATTGTTGTAAAAATTACGCAGTACGTACTAATCACTCTGCCATACACCATAGGAACTCCGCAGCCTCTTGTCGTACTAATTAATATGGAACACCATAGCAATGACGTACGGGCTAGGATTGAGTATCAGTACCAATTTTTTGTACAAAAATGTAAATATAATTCAAATGTAGTTCTTGAACACAAAGGGTGGAAATTTGAAACCTTAAGGCTGTCCGCAATGCATATGGGTGGAAACCCAAATTTAAGCTTTTCACCCCAAATTGATGTGCAACCCAAGTATATTAGGGTCTTATAGTGGGTTGGTAGAACCCTTGGAGTGAGAATTTGGATGCTCAATCCACTCTTGGAGAGAAAAAAAAGGTGCACTTGATGTGCACATCAAAGAAAAAGAAGTGAGCTCCATGAAAACTCAAAATCCAAAATTTCTTTAAAATGATGTAACTTTTCTATTAAAGATCAATTTTTTAAAAAAAATATATCAAAATTCATAACTTTTTATAATCTTTCATGACACCAGTCATGGATATATACAGTTACAAAAATTACATAACAAGAATCTACGGAGTACCTAACAAGGAAATGAATATGTTGCAAGTAAATAATAAAATTATATACTATCGTAGGTAATAAAATGATTTACGAAATATGTGTGTGTGTGTCAATCAAAATTAATTAAAAAATCACATTTCATTTACTTGGCATTTTCTTCAACATAAGAAAAACATTTCCTTCTTCGTGATACGGACTATATTATTAGTTTCTTGTATTGCTTTCACTGACTTCTTGCTGGATCTATATAAAGAAAACAGAAGTAGAAATCTTGCATGATGATTTTATAACGTACCAAGGTATGGCTAGTGATGACGTAATTGTTATCTGCCACAAGGACAGGCAAGGACCTAGCCGCATATTCCCGCTCTGCAAACGCCACCATATAACCACCGCCCTTGGTGGTGTTGATTGACAGCAGCGAAATCTCGTCGACCTTCGGCCGGAAAACGGCGAGCCGGGAGGATACGCCGGAAAGGGCTAGCCGGCGATCACAGGGCGAGAGCTGTGTTTGGTTGAAAAAGAAGTTTTCTTTGGAAGAGAACGCCAATCCAAATGTGAACCCGTCCTGTTTCTGAACCTTTGCATCCAGACAGGGATTAAAAACGGGATTCGTATCTTCAGATTTTGCAGAGTCCATCATTATAACCATGATCAAGATCATCAACACAGCCATGAGTGCCGTCCCCATGTTTGTTCACCCTCTCCCTTCTTGAAATAAAGGAAAAAGGATTAATCAGGGGAATGAAATAAAATGATGAGACTAAATTCTGTATTTCACAGTCAAAAAGGGGAAAGTGAAAGAATTGCTTTATATGGGAGATTTGTGTAGAAAGAATGATTCTTTCGGTGTTGTAGAATTTGGGAGTTTGGGGATCGTGAGGAAGAAGGCGTTGACAATGGAGAAGGGCGAGCAAAACGACGGGGTTGCGGATCTTGTTGTGTTTTGTCCCAGAAACTGACAGTTCTAAAAGTCTCATGTTTCATTGCCTATGATTTTTTATATAATCCCACATAAACCTCTGTTGCAAAAATGGAACCGGAAAGCGACCCAAATGAATGATCGGGTCACGGTTCAATCCAGATCTGAAGGGTCAATCCGATCAACGCCGTAAAACCCGGTTAACTGTTATAATTTATTCATATATATGTAAAGAGACCCTCATATAAAACAATATGTTTTCGGTGAATGGATTTCAAAAAAGAAATTGATCAAAACATAAGAAAAAGTTCTACAATAGGATTACGTATTTTTCTTTTCAAAATAAGACTTATTTGGTCATATTAAAACAATATAGAATAAAAGTTTCTCTTAATTGAAATGATTGAGTTCTATATTGGAAAGACAACAAGTAAAATCTTATTTTAGAAAAGTTATTATCCTTTACACCTGTTGAAAGAATTTCCTAAAGACCAGGAATTGCCTAAAGAATTTCCTATTAAAGCCATATGGTTTGCTTTTATTATGTGATCTATGAGGACCGCTAAAGATCTCAAATTAAGAATTTATAAGTTTCTTGTATATGTTTCAATTCAGTGACTATTTTTCGACAAATTGGATCACAAATGATGTTTTTGTAGTTAATGACATTTTTGTACTTTCTTGTTGACATTTTGATAGTAAATTTGAGAAACTAATAAGCATGGTTTTGCTCACAAAGCTCTCCAGTTATTTCTAGAAAAATGTTTTAAGCTTTGCTTATTAGAAAAACTAATAAGCATGTATTTTTTAGTAAACTGTTTTAAGCTTTGCTCTGATTTGTATTTTTTAAAATAATAATCTTATTGTATAGTAGTCATACATAAACAGCTAAAACTTGAAACCGTTAAACTTCTGTAACCAAGTTGTTCAATTCTTTTATTGTCTATATTAATCCGTATTATTCATCCACAAAGGGAGACTTGTATTGAAAATAATTAAAGTCATTCGAAGAAGAAGAAAACTTATACCGTCAGAAGAAGGAATAGTAGGACCAAGAAGAAGCTTGCGATTTCACTCATCTCCAATCCACAAACGTGCATAGTTAAACTAATAAAACTACCTCATAATTTAATAATATTAATATTATTATAACAACAAATCAACTTTCGGAACAGAGTTTTTGGGCTTGCATTTCAATAAGAATGAATTGATGAAAAATCAGATCAAACATTTTTCACATTGTTTTACAAATCTTCTACATAATTTAATACAAGCTTCCCAACTTTGGTATGAGAAAGAGTCATGCGTTGCGCCATAAGGATAGTAACAAGAGATTCATAATGCTTGGTATTACTTACCTGCATGCATAAAAAGAAAAATGCATAAAAAGAAAAATGCATAACAAGATTAGTAGAAATAGATATATAATGCATTTTAGATTATTTAAAAGATGAATTTTATATGATAAAAAAAGATGAGTTTTATTTACCTTTGCGATCTGAAGAGCAGTTTGGATAACATAATTTCCAAATCGATTGCGGGCAAGTAACACCAAACTCTTTTCACTGCTAAGAAGGCTCTCAATTACCGAATCCAGTCCATACTCTGATGCTTCTATGCATTTTTCAACAACACGACTTCCACTTTTTTTAAAAGCTAAGTGTAAGTAATCCCTCTTGAGACGGTCACATATTTTCTTTGTGATCTCATCGTTTCTAAGCATCAGAACTTCCTGGACAATATAATTCCTATTTGAAGAGAGATAAAAACAAGTTTGATTAGTTGATTAGTTGAAGAGGGAAAAAGTTGTGATATCATATTTAGATTCATAGTTAAAATTGTTGAAGAATGAAGAAGTGCATACCCATAAGGATCATTGGCTAAAAAATCAGATTTTTCTGCAATACTTTTGAGCAATAGTTGTCTTTGGACACCAGTAATACAACTCAAGCAAACATTCAAGGATGAACATCCATATTGTGTTGTTGCCACCTCTTTCAAGTAAGAGACTGCACAAGTGAATAAAACCTGTATCAAGTTGAGAGATTAGAGTGAGATAACATATTGTTACAAAGTCTAGCTATAATATTCGAATTATTTTTATTTTTATTTTCCTATGAAATACTATTGATACTCTAACACTTGATAATAAATAGTATCATCATGGAGGATGAGTTCATCTTTCATTCTAAACTGTATTACTAGCTAGATAATATATATACAACTGATCACACTTAACTTTATTGATTATATACATTGCAACAAAAGAATACTTGAGGGTGAATGGCCAGGAACCCTCCCAAGAACTCTTGCGTGAGAGAAAAGGTAGGAATAGATATCTAAGTGGACTTTTTTAATATTGTTTGATTCACTAAAAGGGGGATGTGAGTATTTTACAAAATTCGTACCAAAATACACTTTCCATTATCAAAGTAAAGATAGTGGACAAAATAAAAATCTCCTTTTTATTGTATTTAAGAATATAATATTATTTAGTACAAGCATGCATCTATCTAATACTATGCATATAATAATACGTAGTAACATTAATAGAGACCAAATTTGAAAATATACGAATCTATCATTTGTATAACAAGAATATATCAATAGACGTTGAAAATATACGAATATATCATTTGTATCTATAGTATTATTTTCAAATAGTATCATGTTATAGCAGTATAGGCAATAGCACTACTCTTTAAATTCAATGAAATTAGAGTAGTCTCCCAGCCCCTTCATATATTCCCCTCGAAAACCCTCAACATTAATCAACTTCGTAACATATCCTAAGTTCCATCCCCAACACCAAGCATTGTTTTAGGTATATATAATCATAATGTATAATAGGTAAAGTACCGAGTATGACACTAATAATTAAGAAGTTTTAAGTTTAATAAAAAACCTCATTTTCTTTGGCTTCGAAGGTGTAAAAGCACTCTTGAACTACAAATCTACCGTGCTCACTAATCATCAGCTCGACAAATCTCATAGATAGGATGCTTGCAACGAAATGTCCCAACCCGGTGTTTTTAAGCTTCTTGATAAATCTTTGAACTGCACTTGATCTGTCATTGGATTAATGCATGTGATATGAACTTATTAGTAATATATTAATTGTAACAAAATAGTAAAACATGGGAAAATCATTATCAATACGGTCAATTTTTAAAAATATCATTGCAATTGTCACTAAAATGTTAAGTGGAAATAACACACGCAAAAGCCATGCATCTATATACTACGTACGTATTAATTAACTGATCATTATGAGAATATAATAATACATATAGAGTATGCATTAAGAGAAAATTTAAGACTGCATTCTTGTCCATATTTATATTTGCCATGTAATTTGTAATTATTGAAAAAAAGATTAAAAAAGACGATAAATAAATAAAAGATTGCAGATGAAAAAATGTGGATTTAATAATTCTTTTCACCCATATTTCACAAGAGATGTGTTGATAAGCAAGTCCTTGCATGATGTCAGGGTGACAAAGACGGTATCCAATTGACTAGAATCACAAAACTCAAGAATTTTTCGGAAGAGATGGTGGCCATGTGGATCTATCATCACTTCAAATATGCATCCAATTATCCCATCAAGAACTTCTTGTCTATCTCTCTGATTTCCATTCTTAATCAGTCTTTGAAGTTCAAGTGACCCCTCATGCGTTTTAGACATGCGTACAAACACGTCCTTTGAATCATTCAGTCTCGAGAGGCACTCGTATTCGTGCTTGGGGTTTCTTGCAATATTATTACAATTATAACTGTACGGTCCTCCACCAAACTGATTCCATTCGACGTTGTAGTTGTCTGGAACTAGATGAACAAGATAAATAAGTAAAAGGATAAATGAATGAAATAAAAAGTGTACGTAATAACGTAAATTCAAAATGGTTACGTTGTATCATATATACTAATTAATATATAAGGATTCAAGAAATTAAATTGAAGAAAAGAAGACACTACTTACTTTTGGGAGTGTTTTCGGCACATCTGTCAAATACCAAAAGATTATGTTCTTGAGAGAAAGAGTCTTGTAATCTCCTTCTCCATTCGTCTAGTTCCTTCTCCAAAGAACTGATCAACCCACAGTTGAGAGCCGGCCGGTGGTGGAGAGAACCCATATATCCGTGTATAATACTATCCTATGTCTGTGGTTTCCGATGAAGGAATTGAAAAGGCTGAGTACGTGGTTCAATTTTTTGAGTCTCACAGATGAGTATGGCCGATGGGAATGAACGCAGGGGGGGATAAAAGAGCTCGCTCTCTATATATACAAATCTTAATTTGTTCTGTTTCCTAATCTTAGGATCCTATGTGTATTAGGTTTCTTTTTTATATCTACACAAATAGGAAGTAACGAGTAATTACGGCATCCGCAACTAATCCTATTCCGTATTGAACATTTGAACTAAGTAACGAGAGTATTATGAACTAATCCTACTCCGTATTTGATACACGTACAGTATTAACACTGAATTAATTTACTGTAATTGTTCATAAATATGAAAGAAAATACGTAAAACATATTTTATAAATAAAAAAAAACAAAAAATATACTACATAATTCCATTAATATTACTCTTCAAATAGTGGTAGACAAAAATGTGACTTAGTAACTTTTAGAATGTTTTTAATTGGATAGAAATTTGCTGGTCTGGTTTGGTCTGGTCTGAACTGGTCAGATTCGGCCTAGCTAGTTTCGCAAATGACCCGTCTCTGTAGATTTTATAACTATTCAAGTCTAGTCTGGTCTGATCTAGTCTTATCTGGTGTGATCTAGGACTGATAACAACCCAAAGTTAAAAAATACTTAGTGATGATGTTTTTACTTGGACTGTAATTCCTCCCAGACCAGACCAGACTTGGATAGTTACAAAAATACAAAGAAACCAAACCAGACCAGACCAGTTCAGACCAAACCAAACTAGACCAGACCAGACCAGCAAATTACAGTCCAAGTAAAAACATCCTGACTAATGCCAACACTTCCATCACCGTCACTGCACCACCGTCACCGTAGCTAGTCGCTCCTCCAACCACGAACACTTAACCTTACCCCATCCCAAACCCCTATCTTGGCCTCCAAATCCTCATATAGATATGCGGATTTGATGTGAGTTTTCTCAAACTTAAAATATGTAGCAGTATAGGGCTAAAGTACAAGTATCGTCTCCACAGGGACGGAAAAGAGAATCAAGAATTAAATAAATTCAACAATTAAAAAAAAATAAAATGCAATTGTGCGAGATTTGGAATTGGTTGGAAAATTAAAATTTGGAACATACAAATAATCCCAGGGTCTTGAAGAATAAAGCAGAAAAATAGATAAAAACTCGTCCCTAGACCTCTCTCTAAGCTAGGGGTGGGATCGGTCCGGTACGGGCCGGGTTTTTGCTAAACCCAGACATTACCCGTAAGGCATCGGGTTATGAAAATTAGAGACCGAAAAAAGCCCACTATATTCGGTCCGAGTCGGGTTTTTTGTAGACCGGGTTCGGTCCAGGTTTGGGTTGGGTCGGTTAAAGCCCGAATGTGAAATCACTCATTTTTCTTTTATATTTTAAAATCTATTTTCAAATAAAATTAATAAAAAGTACAAACCGCAAATAAAATTAATAAAAATCACAAATATTAGTCTCCAAAATCACCAAGAATTCAAATCCAAAAAAGAAAATTTTCATAATATTTTGTTTAAGATGCATAGAAATAAGTAATATAGGTGTTCTAAAAATGTTATGAAATAAAATTTATGGATAAAAATGTGACTAAAGTTACTATAAATATGTTTTCATTGTCATTATGGTAAATAAATTGAACATATCTGTAGTCATTAAAAGTTATTAAGTCATTTTTTTGTCCATCATGATTACAATCATATATTAGGAATTAATTTTTAAAGGAAAAATTGATTTTAATAATCTCAACTATTGGCGGTCCGCTCATAATAATCCCAACTATCGATTAATTCAGAATAATCCCAACTTTATGGACCTTCCGCCAATAATGGTCCGACGTGACAAAAAATAAATAAATTTCTATAGTTTCTAAAGAGATATAGCAGGTAATCCCTATAAATAATCCCAAATTTTAATTTTTACGCTTAATTTCTATTAAAAGTTCACTTTTTAGAGCACGTAATATGCGGTCATGGACCATTATTGGCGAACGGTCCATATAGTTGGGATTATACAAAAATAATCAATAGTTGGGATTATTGTTAGCGGACCGGCAATAGTTGGGATTATTATTTTCAATTTTTCCATTTTTAAATTATATTGGTATATTATATTGATTTTATATTAAGGCTAATTGTTTCGGGTTTTATCGGTCCGGGCCGGGTTATAGATTTTAGGGCCCGTTAAAGAGCCCGAAATTTCGGGTTCAGTCCGGGTTTTTTTTATTCGGGCCGGTCAAAAAGAAAAAACTCGGACCGATATCATAATTCGGGCCGGGCCAGGGCCGGTTTTCGGGTTTTGGTTCGGGTTTTCCCACCTCTACTCTAAGCTTCGTCCTTCCAAAGCGGGGGTTAAAGGGCTTTTTTTTTGTCCCTTCGGGGACATCCGATAAAATTGGGGGTTAAGGGGCTTTATTTATAGAAAACAGAGGAATTCGGGCCTAATCAGGACGTTCCGGCGTAGGCATGGCGTGCCCGTTGTCTGTGCCTCCAGAGTAAAAGTGTGTCTCGGTTTCGGGCATGGCGTGCCTCCCTTGGCACGCACGGTGTGCTTGACTGGCAGCAACTTCCTCGTGAATCGTCCAACGGGGACGGCGTGCCTCCCTTGGCACGCACGGCGTGCCCGTTTCCTACCTTCGTCTGGGGCCTTCTGCCATGCACGCACGATGTGCCTCTCTTGCAAGCACGGCGTGCGTGGCCTATTCTTCATCAAATTCTTTCGTTTCTTGCTCTGAATGCTCCCGTTTGCTTCCGTGATCAATCTTAAAGCTCTTTTGTCGTCAAATCTTCATCGTAAACCCCCTGTTGACCTCCAAAACTCTCAATTTACTCTCAAATGCGTCTCTACTCGTCCTGATTGCTTCTCAAGCGCCGGTGTCGGGCTCAAATTTCCTGATTTTAACTCCAAGAATACCAAACTCGAACCAACATCCAGTAAAATATGACTTGAGCTAATAATGAGACTTAAGTCAATTTTAAGCTAGAAAAACCATCAAAAGTCGATCTCAACATGCATCAAATGCGTGTCAAAATACGAACTTATCAGTATTCCAGGTGATGCGGCATCTGCGTGTTGCAGAGGAGGAGTTTGTGGTGGCCCGAGCTCATCGCCGCTAGATCAACGAAGCTCATCACCATCTTCATCGTCAGTCTTCGTTGTTGCTAGAGCCTCGCCAGCTTGGAATAAAGTCACTAACGACGTCTATTTCTATTGGAGGGATGGGCTGATTGTGTCTCGATCAGTAATGGTGAGAGTGGTGAGCATAAGGATTGAAGAGATATGGAGAAGGAGATTTAGTAGGACATTGAAATAAGGCCAATGATTATCCCCTCTAGAGGGTTACATCGAGGGGATCCTTTATCTCCTTACCTATTTATTTTGATTGCAAAGGGGCTGAGTGCTCTACTCAGGAGGCATGAGAGTATGGGGCACATTCATGGAGTAGTGGTGGCTAGAGGAGCGCCACGGATATCTAATTTACTCTTTGCTGATGATTGTCTCCTTTTCTTTTAAGCTAACCATTGAGAGGCAACAGTTATCAAGGAGAGTCTTCTTGATTATGAATCCGCCTCGGGACATGTGGCTAATTTTTATGTCAAAGTTTTTTTCCAGCTCTAATGTTTCGGCCAACACTAGGGAGGGGTTAATGGAGCTTCTTGGTGTGGGGCCCGCGACCGTGGAGGAAAAGTACTTGCAGCTGCCGGATCTCGTTGGGCAGAATAAATGAAAGATTTTGAATTATTTGAGACTGATGGTGATCAAGATGACTCAAAGCTAGAATAATAGGTTTTTTTCTTGGACGGGAAGGGAGGTTCTTCTAATGACGCTAATTCAAGCTATGCCTTTATATGTGATGAATGTTTTTATCCTTCCAAATGAGCTTTGTATGGAATTGAAAACTCTTATGAATGGCTATAGGTGGGCCGGCAACACCAGAAAGGGCATCTGATGGAGGGATTGGGAGTCGCTTTGTATACCCAAAAAGTTTGGTGGTTGGGTTTTCGAAGATCAGTTAGGCAGTTTAATATTGCTATGTTGGATAAGTAGGCGTAGAAACTATTTACTGAGCCTGATTCTCTGGTTGGTCGTGTCTTTGAAGCCTGCTACTTTCCTAATGGGTCATTTATTTCAACAAGGCTAGGAAATCATCCTTCCTTTATCTGGAGTAGTAGTTTTTAGGCTTAAACGGTTATAATGGAGGGTTATTATTGGCAGGTGGGGGTGGTGGATTCTATCAATGTATGGGAGGATCCGACGCTCTCGGATGTAAGTAATTCCAAAATTACTTCTCCAGTTTTTGAAGGTTTGGAAGATTTAAAGGTTGCAAGGCTTTTCTCCTCTTTTGAAAGAGGATGAGATTCTGATCTTGTTAATGATCTTTTTAATGAAAGCGACCGCAAAATGATTCTCAGTATTCCTTTAAGCAGGAGGGCAGTTTCGGATCGGATTACTTGTAAGGGCGAGCGAAAAGGAATATTCTCTGTTCGTAGCTGCTATGGAAGACTTATTGGGGAGATTCAACAAGATGGTTGATGTGGAGCTGGATGGTGGCCTGGAAACGGAAGCTTCCGCCTAAAATCATGACTCTTTTTTGGCAGATTTGTAATGGTTCGTTACCAACCGTGAGTCTTCATCGACGGTGAGTGGATTGTGCCGTGAAGTGTGGGTTGTGTGGGGCGGAGGATGAATCTCTCCTTCACCTATTTGTGCTGTGTCCGGTGGCTGCTGCTGCATGGTGCTCTGTGGGTTGGGATTTCTCAGGTCAGGCATTTAACTCCTTCATGGGCTGGTTCCAGGGATTTTTTTTCAGCAGGGAAGGGGATGAGTTGCTGAATTACCTGAATGTCGCTTGGGGATGTTGGGGTTTGTGGTTTCAAAGAAATAGAAGGGTGTGGACCGTGTGGTAGGGAGAGTATCTTGGTCCAGATCAGTTCATGCATAAGGCAGGGAGCTTGGTGGCAATTAGGAGTTCGGTCCAGGTTGAGGACGAAAGAACGGGGCAAGGAGTTGTGGGAGATGTTTAATGCTGGAGGCGACCAAAAGAGGGTTGGTTGAAAGCTAATGTAGATGCAGCTGTTGGTGGTCACGGGCTCGGGTTGGAATGGGTGATCCGAGATGATGCTGGGAATTTCTTAGCAGCAGGTACTCACAAGAAGGCA